TCCCAGTTGTTCACGGACGCCGCAAAGCCAAGCCTTTCTACCACCATCGGAATAGAACGCTTACTTGGAGGATCGTGGGACTTAGTAAGTAGGGTTGTAAGTTCCTTAATTGGGGTTAGAAGTAATTAAAAGTATAGTTACCCTAATTATAGCCCTAGTAACTAAGTCTTTAAGTAGGTCTTACACCCAGGATCTGCCTGGGAGGGTAGCTGTAACCTACAGCTGAGCTGCAAAGACACGCGCAGATCGGAACACACTGTACCCTAAGTTTTGACACCGCCGTGGAACCTTCGTACCCAAAAGCTCAGGGCCGAAGTCCTCCATGCCAAGGCCCCATCCGAAAACACTAAGAACGCACCTGTAAGACCGCTGATGCCTGCCTTGGCCGCCGGCATCCTCCAGGTAGTTCCTCTGCGAACCTGCAGCCAGGATTCGGCTAAGTCGCAGGCCCGGCAGCTCCTCTGAGACTCATAAGCTGTGCAGCGCCCGGGAGTTGCTTTTTTGTTGGCCACCACTACAACTATCATCATATGTGAGAAAATGGAGCTGGAGGGATGTAGAGTTCAAGATAGTTCGCGACTTGTTAGGCTTGCGGGCTGCCAACGAAGACGACAGCCTGTGATGCATGTACACGGTGAGTATTTGAGGTCAGGCTCTGTAGGTTTCAGGCTGCAGATTGGGAGGGAAAGGAGTGGTCCAAAGTCCAGAAGCCAGGGCTTCATGTTTGGGGGCTGCCACGCTTGAGTTGCCTGGACAAGACACAAGATGCCTAACTCCTCCACAAAAACAGCCCCACTTAGAGGTATCGAGCTTCGGAGCAGTGTAGGATAGGAATCGTCTTTTGGTGGAGCTTTGTAAAAGCCAGGGAAGCTACAGCGCAGCAGCAAGGCAAGATGCTGAATCCATCAACCTGCTAGCGCTGAAGCCGCAAACCCTGCATCCCGACACCTTGAAGCCCAAACTCTAAAACCCTTCGCTTTGAAGCCTAAACCCCAACCCCCCGAACTCCGAATCCTGAAGACCTGCACAGCCAGACGGTTCGGGGGCTTCCGGGCCGATACTGAATATTATTCCTTCATAAGCAGAATAGAGTTTCGGGGTAAACCACACGATAATTTAAGAAACACCGAAGAGCAGTATTACTGCAAAATTCAGGGGTTCTACATTACCCGCCACCCCTGGAAGTATGCACAAATGGGAACCGATACTAAAAAAAATGAGATAGGATGCCATTTTTGCTACATCGTTAACAAGGTGCATACCGGAAATAAGCAGCGAGCGTGCGACTATCGTAACCCTAAACTCAAACGACCCGGAAACCCTGTGCAATCCTACCTTGCAGGGTGTAGTAGCACAGCCGCTCGCACATCTCCACAACAAGGATGAAGGAGCACACGGTAAAGAGCTTGTTCGTCCTGAAGGCGTTTGTTTTCGGTTTCGAGCGTCGAGGCTGTGCTGACTCAAGGATTTGGTTTGTCATTGTAGCATGTATGAAAGACATCCCTTAAGATTTGACCTTTCGTGCATGATCAGCATGAGGCATCTCTGGCTGAACACCCTACAGTAAGCCTTATGAGCCCTAGCCTTTCAGCCGTTCGCCAGCTTTCCGTGGGGACTTAGTAGCTGGTTATTTTCGGGACTTATAAGTACCATAACCCCAATTCGGGTCCCTTTTAGGGTACTTATAAGTCTAGTTACTACCTACTTACTAAGTCCCCCGACCCTCCAAGTACGGTGTCATGACTTTGTACTGCAGCGGATCAAGGCTTCCAAAGTTGTAGAAAAGCAGCAGCAGAAGCTGCAGCAACAGCGGCAGCAATAGTAACAACACCGCGGAAGAAGTGATATTCTTCTTATGAATAGAAGTGCTTCTTGTTCCGCTTCTTCGTCTTGCTGCTGTTGTTTGTTACTGCTGCAGTCAGCGACTTGCTCCACTACTATGTAGAGCTTCGGTTTGAAGGCCAACTATGTAGAGCTTCGGTTTGAAGGCCAAAGCTAGAACAGCCCCCGACGTCATGTCGCTCTGGCCTCAGGAGCAGAAGATATACAGACTCCCCCACTTTACGCAGCAAACGCCAAGACCCTCCGAGATGTAGGGCTGTGATTGCGACCTCAAGAAGAAAGCCACAAATAAACACTCACCGCCAGAATTTCGCAAGAGTGTTATATATGCTCCGCCCGATTCTGAACAATGAAGATAAAGGAGCACATTTCGGATTGATGGCAGTTACTGAAATCACGAGCGGACTTGCCGGCAAGAGCTGCCAACCCCCAATCGGGGCAACCTCCTGCCTACAACCCTACTTTCCCCATACGTAATATAGGGGCCTTGATAATTAGAATGGGGTTTTGGGGCCCATAATAATATAAGTATATGAGGAACCCCCACAATATTATAGGAAATTATTACGGCCCCTATATTACTTTCCCCATACGTCTACTAAGGACCCCATATGACTCTAAGCCTGAGCATGGTGGAAGCTAAAGCATCCTTCTTGGGGCTTCGACCCTAGAACCTCAGCCCTAAACCCTAAACCCAAAGCCCTAAACCTTTAGCCCTAAACCTTAAACCCTAAGCCCTAAACCCAGAACCTGAAGCCCTAAACCCTTCTAAGCCCTAAACCCTAAGCCCAAAACCTTAAGCCCTAAACCCTAAGCACTAAAACCCCAAGCCCTAAAGCCTAAGGCCCCGTAACATGATTGCGGGTGCCTCTTTGGAGGCTCTACGAGCTCCTCCTCACCATCATCCTCGTCTTAGAGCTCTTAAAGCTTTAGGGTTTAGGTTTTGAATTGGGTCTTCGAAGGGATCTATATGGGTTCTGATTTCGTAGGGCTTAGGGTAATTTCGTCTTCGAAGGGATCCCAATATGGCTTTTAGAACCGGGGCCAATCTCTGGAGTATAAGGACATCCGCGGCTTGGGTTTTGAAGGCTTTGTCGGGGTTTGGGCGTTGATGGTTCCAGCGTTCTAAGGGGTTCTAGGATTTAGGGTTTAAGCATTTGTTGGCTCCAGGGTGTTGTGCTTTAGGGCTTTTGGCTTCAGGGTTACCCTCATCATGCATGTTTACCTATGTTGAGGCCGTCAAACGAGGTCTTCTACATTTCCCTGTATCGGACCTTTACACAGGTGCACTGAGCTTAAGCTTCGGGCATCTACAGGTCCGGAGCCACGTCTGACCAGGGATCCGGGTGGACCAAGGTTTCGGGATAACTCGGCATGTGTGTGCGTGTGTGTGTGTGTGTGTGTTTGCTTGTTTGTTTGTTTGTTTTCACATCGTAAAACATACACTACACAATCATATACATGAATATCTGCATCGATGTCCTTGTAACCATGATCATACTAAAGTCGGAAGGTTGGAACATCGTAGTCCTAGTGCCTGTGAGGCACGGGGATTTCCAACTCCAGTCATCCTTCACCCAAGTTCCAACTTTCTGGAGTTCATTTAACCTTAAACCCTTGACCCAAACCTTAAAAGCCCAAGCCCGCAGCTCTGAACCCCGAATCCAAAGCCCTCAACCCGGACCCACAAACCGTATCTGCGTGTCATCCCAGCATCCTCCATTGAGTGCTGCGGCAGAGCCAGCGGAGGCTTCAATTTGCTCAAGCGATTCCCATGGCACAGGGGGATATTTGGTTTTTCTATCGGTTCATTTTAAGGGCTCAAGGTTTAGGGCTTAGGGTTTAGTACTTGGTTTGTGGTCTAGGGGTTAAGGGTTTTAGAGTGTCAGTCAGGTTCAGAGATATTTGGCGCCGGGGTGTCTGTCAAATTGGGGGTACCTTACTTGGGGGCCTTGAGGGGATAATTGAAATTTGGCTATGCAGGGTTCCACATTACCGTCTCCTGATTTCTGCAACTCCCATACAAGGGTAGTGCTGAGGGCTTGTGCTTCACTGTGTTTTCAATTTAGTGTATTGCAGGGTCGGTGTAGGGTTTAGGGTTTATGTCCTTTAAGATGGTTTTAAGGTGTACAGGTGGATCAAAACATGCTTCCGTGTAGAGCCAATGTAAGGTTTGCAGGCGTGCAGGCCTTAGGGGGTGGGGGTGGGGAATCGGCTGAGGGCCCAAACAGCAAAAGCCGTAGCGGGCAGTCTGGAAAGTTTGCCTAGCTTCCCATGTAAATCACATTTTTTGGCGAGTGAGTTTATGCTTAAGATGCTGTTATACCAAAAAATGCCACCCACCCACAAAGTAGCCGCTCATGCAGCTCCATCTCTGGGTTGAGGGTGCGGGTTTGTAGGATCTGTTTGGGAGTTTCCGAAACTTAGGGGTACCTTATGATGGGGTCCTTACAACAAGGATCCTATTATTCAGGGTACTATATCAGGGTCCCCTATTTTCGGAAACTCCCGTTTCTCCCGTGGAACACGAAATTAAATCGACAATCGTCAGTTCCCTGAACGAACTGCGTACCCTAATCGAAGGGGGTCTGAAAGGGAAGAGCTAGGATTCGAAGCGAAGGTTTGTAGGACCCATAGGAAGAATCGACTTCATCAGTCCTATCAAGGGGTGGAGATGGACCTCTTACGTCTGCAGGAACCAGTACATGACGATGTCTTTCGGAACTCAGGGCACGTGCAGAGAAATCTTATCTAGTGGACAATTCCAGAATTATTTCCTTGCTTTTCGTGCGTCTTTAGTACTGATAAGACAAGCGATGCTTGGATAGATACGATAGGTACATAGCTAGACAGCTAGCTAGACAGTAGATACCTAGAAAGATAGACTGGCAGATAAATAGGCAGATGGATGATAGATACACCACAGGGTGTCGACGTGGGGTTCGGTGAACTTGGGCCGAAGGGGTGTCTACCATCCGCGTCTTACCTCGTTTTGCCCGGACGGGTTAAGGGTCTGGGGCTAGAGATTTGCGTTTGGCAACACTGGCGAGACCGGGCTTCGCAGGCAACCCTCGCAACCTGAAAGATGCAGCTGGCACCTGGAATTGCGCATTCTTAGACGAACATCCCACTAATAACAACAGTCACGTGAAACTGGCCTCTATCGGCTAGGATGCGAATCCTGGGCAGCCGGAGAAAGAAGGTGTAAGGCTGAAGCGTGCAAAGGGCCTGGATTCAGGAATTGGCTTTCAACTGGTTAAGCGCATCGCATCTCGCAAGTCTGAAGCAAATGGTCGGCTTCGAGCAACCTCCTTACTGCTGCTAGCCTTGCCTTGCTTCCATTTACAGCTCTTGGGTAGGCTTTTAGGTGCGGGAACGGATGGAGCAGTCAACGCATTCAACTGATCAGCGCACAGACCGAGGCCTGAATTTTGGGTTGTGTAGGGAACTCCTTCAATGGTACCCCTGAGTGATGAAGGAAAGGGTTGGGGTTCTACGGTGTATAGCACCGGCTCGCTCCGGACTCTGTCAGAGCAGATCGCAAAAGAGGCGCAGATTGGTGATCTTATGCCCTACGGTATCAAGTTCTAAAGCCTCGACCCCTAAACTCCTAAGCCCCGAACCCAAACCGCAAACCCAAATTCCAAAACCATAAACAGCCCTGGGAATCCAATGTCGTTGACACTAAGGCCGAAGCCTTAACACCTTGTTGATGGGAGGACCAAAAGGAGGCTTAAGATTCTTGTCGCCGGGATTCCTGAATATGAGCCCTATTATGGGAACCCTAATCCCTACTAAACCCCCATAGGCTAAAACCCCTTTTGGCTCTCACGACTTGTGCCCTTGCTTTGTCGGGGGCCCCAAAACCGGGGTTATTCGGCGGCGCCAGGTTCTCAAGACAGGGTGGAATGTCAATGGGCCCTGAAGGAGGAACCGTAAACTAGAGTTGTATTGTGTAGCCCCAAGAAACCCAAGTGATATGATATCTAAACGGTAGTGTTCCCAATGCATATAGACGAGGCGAGTTAAGGGCCTGACTCCCCCAGCTGCTGCAGATCCTTCGTCGCAAGCCGTTGCTTGGACTACAGCTTCCATTTAGGGAGTTTCCGAAATAGGGGACCCTACTAAATTACGTACCCTGAATAGTAGGATCTTTTTTTAAAAGACCCTATATTTAGTAAGGTACCCCTTATTTTCGGAACCTTCCAGGTAGGGTTTAGGGTTTAGGGGCTCTGCAGCTACGATTTAGGCTATTATGTGCCTGGAATTGATGGTTGGGGGTTAAAATTTGATGCTGGCGCCGCTGTTGTCACTTGGGTTGCAAGCAGCCTACACCGAAAAGCCTGTGCCATCAACACAAACCCTTCATCCTGCAACCCAAACGCCGCTCCATGAGCTGGGTTTAGGGTAGACGCCCAAAAGTTGGAAACCCAATAATCCCAATTCTCAAGAGTTTGATATATAGAGAATCCCCGCACTAATTGTCCTTAATCCAGTTTTCACCTGTTTGGTGTTTACTATACTATACGGTTCCCGCACCCTGGGGTTCGAGCTCTTCTCTACGGCGAGGGTCGATTCTACCCATGCTCTCCGATGTGGGTCCGTTCTTTGGTAGAAAAATTTTGTGATTAGGAAGTAGGGACCTGGAGCAAAAGAGCAACGATATATCCCTAAAAGGAATTCCATGGGCTCGCAAAGCTGCCTTTTGAAGAGGCCATAATGAAAACTCAGAATATCCAGCAGTTTCACCTAAGACTTAGATTGAAATTGCAGATCACAGGAATTCAGTACAGTTTAGCGGTTGGGGAAGCACATTTTGATGCCCAGGGTTCGGGAGCAGAAGAGACGATCTCTCAAGGTTTGCAACAGAAACCACATCCTGGCAGGCACAATCTACCCTAAACCCTAAACCCCCAAACCCCAAACCCTCAACCGCTAAACCCTCAACCCCTAAACCCTAAGCCCCTAAAGCCCAAACCCCTAAACCCCTTAACCCTAAACCCCTGAAAGCTAAACCGCTAAACCCTCAACCCCTAAACCCTCAATCCCTGAATAGGTAGCCGGCGAAGCCTTACAGTTGAAGACTCCGTATTGAACATAGGGGCCTGGATAATTAGACGGAGGTTTTGGGGTATGTTATACGGTAAGTATCATATGTTATACGATAAGTATCATAAGGACCCCCCAAAAGAGTAGTGGTAATTAGGGTCTGGAAACTAAAAAAGCGTTAGAGCATCGAATTGGTTCTCCTAGCAGCGCTTCCCGCCTGGATGAGGTATGCCTCCATGTCATCCAGGAGAGTGGCGCTATCTGCATTGAGAGCGGCAGCATAACCATATGGGTAGTTGTCAAAATTAGGGTCCCTTTATGGGTCCCTAATATAATACGGCACCTAATACTTAGGGTTCCCAAATTTTTGGGACCCTAGTTTTGACAACATCCCATATCGCAGGCCCAACCCGAACCAATAACCCTAACGCCATGATCCTCTCTTCTTCAACAAACCGGGCCCCCAAAAAGTTTAACTTTCTAAGATAGAGCTCATATCTAAGGCCAAAAAGCTTAAAGTTCCCCCGTGCGCTCTCTGAAGATCCAGGTTGTGGATTAAGGGCCCAGGGCTTGTCTCGGACACGAAACCTAGGAGGATGCGATGAAGGTAACCTAGTAAACTGTGGGGGCCATCATCATTTTTCAATTGTGTTTGGGATAATTAAATAACCGACCATTTACAGGGGCCGTAATGAATGGATGTTTTATTTTGGGAAGATAATACATGTGCGGGTCTGAATAATTGGGACAGGGCTTCAGCGTAACATTTTATCATAAGGAGCTCAGGAATACTGTTGCCACTTATTCATGCCTCTGCAGCAGGAAACTGTTTTGGGTATGGTTGGGCTGGCCCCATCAAGAACACTGCCTGCCAGAACACGACAACGGAGGGCTTCGTTCGGGTCTTGGGGTATAAAGTGGGAGAACCTCCAGAACTACCAATAATACGGTTGATGTTATAAATCCTGCATTACCTTAAGGATCCTAAACTATGGGAATTATGGTATATTCCTTCTTATGGGAAATGCAGGATTGATATCATCAACCGTACCACTACTAATTTTTGAGATCCCTTCGTGCTGGCGTCTGAGACCAGATTCCCAGCTTTCCTACACCGCAGCTCTAAATGACATCTTCTTTGCGAGAGCTGCAACTCGAGGAACCTATCTCAGGCTGCTTGCATCCTGAACCTCGAGGTGTCGGGTCTACTTAAAGGATAAGGGGACTTAGTAACTAGGGTTATAATTAGGGTAACTGTACTTATAACCCCAATAGATGTACTTATAAGCTTACTTACTAAGTCCCACGATCCTCCAAGTAGAGTTGAAGGGGCTTTCCATCCGGTTTATACCCTAGTCTGAACTTAGAACCCTAGCAAAACTTATAACTTTAGCTGTTTCTTAGGGATTACAATAACCAAAAATTAAAAAGTATTTCTAAGCAAAAAAGTACCGGCAATGAGCTGGAATCATCATCTTTCCGCAGGCCAAGAAGCTCGACGTCCACTCCGTGCCAACCGTCTTCCCCTGCAGGCTTACGGTTTACGGTTTAGGGTTTAGGGGGCTTCAGGTATCAAGATCGAAGGATCTGGCTCGATGTTTCAGGAATCTGGCTGAGCACTAACGCTATGCGGGGCTCCCTAAGCCCTAAACTCTGAACCCTGAATCTTAACCCCAAATGTAGTAGGGTTTGGGACCTGAGCCAAGTTGATTCTTAACGGCTGAAGACTTCGGGTGCCCTTTTGTTGTCGTGTCTTAACATCGATCTCGCGAGAGTGGCTGGATTCCCAGAGTGGACAGATCCTTTCATACCCTCGGAATCCCCAGACATCGAAAGCCGAACAGGTTCACGCATATTGAAGTCTGATCCACCCCCGCCTAGAGCGTCCAGCTGCTCATGCCGAAACGAAGTCTCTGTGAATTCCCAGCTCTGCACTGACGGCCCTCAATGTTGGGATGCATCCGGTGAGTGGAATTTGAGGGCTTTTGTTGTAGGGTTTAGGGTTAGCGTCCCTACGCCTTGTCTTTCTGGGCTTCAGTAAACGGAAGTGGGTTTTTGGGGATGTACGTCTCACCTCATCAGAGCAAGCGTGAAGAACCAAGACTTTAGGCCGGTGGTTGCTCCTAGCAAGAAGAACAGGTCATCCAGCACCCTCAGCCCTCAACCCCTAACTCGGGCTACAAACTACAAACTCATTTGCACGTCTACCAGCATCCTACTGCTTATTTTGGGATCCTTGTAATAAGGATCCCACTATTTAGGGTACTATATTTGGGTCCTAGAACTTCTAGCGCTCCCCGACTACTTCAACCAAGACAGGTACCAATCCTAGCTCCAGAGCTGCGAGGCCTGCCGAGCCCCACCCAGAAGCACCAGCTGCTCTACCAGGGAGCGGGCCTGCACAGTTGGGTGGTTGTCAAAGTTAGGGTCCCTTTTGGGGTACCATAAATATTCGGTGCCGTATTTTAAGAGGTACCCAAAGAAGGACCATAATTTTGACAACCACCCAGTTCCCAGCAGCTTGGGGTTTTGGGCATTCTGATGAGAGCTTAAAAAACGGGGTTAGGGTTTAACGGATCCCCCCCAGAAGCTTTTCGTACATTTTGAAGGCTCCAAAATTATGGCTTCCTTGCATACTCCTTTTGACTTGAAGGTTTTTCTGGGCATGCAGGTTGGAGGATCCAGCAATGGATCAGTCAGGAAATCACAGCAAACAACCTATGAAATCCTACGAGCACCCTAACCCCTAAATCGAAATCTCAAACCCTAACCCATTGAGACTTACAGGACCATGCATTCGGCTTCATTATCGGGCAGGGACGCTAAGAGAACAAGGATAATAGCCCTAAGCTCTGCATACCCAGCCCTGCACTGTCCAGCTCCAGGTGCGGCTGTAGTTTGTCTTTACAGGTTATTCTTGGCCGACTTCTGAACCCCTCCTAAAACTTAAACTTTTAGCCTACTTATTATAGTTCATATAGAAACCCAAAAAGTTAAAGTCCTAAGAGTCAACCAGAAGAACGCCAAGTATTCTTAATCAAAGTTTTCTGCTTAGAGGCTCAGTTGCTGCTAAGATTCTGCGATTCCAGTTCGGGCTGAGGTGGGGCGATTCCGTGTGATCCCTTGGACAGCGGAAGCACGGGTCGAGTACTCAGGATGTGCAGGAGTGCAGGGTTTAGAGCTCAGTTTTTATGGCAAGCTTGAAATAGCATCCATGAATCCGATATCCAGAGGTCCACAGGCCACACCACCTTTCCCCGAAGCCCTAAACACCCTGCGTCGAAGCGTACACCTCGACTTCCTAGTGAAATACTTCCCCATATCCCGTACTCGAATCTTGCTCTCTTCCATCTCTCCCAAGCAACTCTGAAGAGCCTCACCAGAAACCCCGAGCCTGCTTCGTTCTTTTTTAAATCTCATGGGTGTACCGCATGGGTCTTCTATGCGTGGTTCTGGATCCCCCGAAGACTGCCATACTCTGACACAACGAACTCGAAAAGGACTCCATATTTGTTGGAGCACCCTTCCCCGCCGTAGGCTTATTGCGATCTCAGTCGATGCAACGCCCCATAAGTAGACATCACGATTCTTCGGAGGTATCACACAGTGCCTCCGAAACCTCTTGGTAGATGGCACCTGAGACTGTCGACACTGCGGATTAACGATCTGGGAGTTTCCGAAAATAGGGGACCGTAATATAGTACCCCAAATAGTAGGATCCTTATTATAAGGACCCCAAAATAAGGTACCCCGTAGTATTTTCGGAAACTCCCATCTCCTATTCATGGTCCAGGTCATGCGGTTCAACCGCTTCTGCCGGCTTAGCTGGGTCTGTTCTACGCAAGGCTTGCGCAATGTGCTCAAAGTTTGTAAAGTAGAACGCGAAATGAATGAGAACTCCTGATAAGGAAACGATCGTGGCGCATACTTCCGGCCCGATGCATGGATCGTGAACAGTCTACGGATAGTTGCAGTTCCCGGAACGGTGTTGAACGTCAGGGGTTTGGCCCAAGATCGCGAAGAGTCGCGAAAGCCTTGCGGCTCTGTAGTGGTTTGAGGCGCCATGACTTGACATGCCTGAGATTGACTAAAAGACTGGGATCTTGTTCAGGAGCTTAGTTTAAGTTGCAATAATAAGGAATCCTTGTAGTATAGACCCCTATAATACCCTAAACCCTAAACCCGAAACCCTAGACCCTAAGCCAATAAACTCCCAACGCGAGAACCCAAAAGAACTTGCTTCGGGGAAGCTCTTCGTCTCGGGAAAGTCAATGAACTTGGGGCTGCCAGGGGTTCCTAAACCTCAAACTCGAATACAGGAGCCTTAATGATTAGACTAGGGCCCCCCCCCAAAAAAAAACAAAAGTATTGGCAATTATTCAGGCCCCTATATTAGATGTTTTATTGCTCTTTGTACGTATGTCTACCGACCTTTACTGTTGCATGGCTCAAGACAAAAAGTGTGTGTGCGATTCGTGCTATCGTGCACTATCTATAGGTTATCAGCCGTAGCCTAGTCGAGCCATATCCTTTTCCAGGTCGCTCCTGAAATCCTGCAGGTAACACCGGAATGGAGGACACAGCCGAGCCAGTGCCAACGGGTATCTCAGATATGACATTGGCAACTGATGAAGCAAGTGATCAAGGATTTCCTCCATTAATGCCAACAGGTGATAGTCATTTGCCGAATGACGGACTGGCAATCATGTCACATGATGCAGCGCACTCTCCGATTGATTCGTTGCTTAGGGAACGTGTCCCTACTACGCCAGTATCTATTGCACCTGTTACTCCGGTAGGAATACCTGGACCATTGGCTCATGCTGCGGGCGTGCCCAGCCCATCAACACCAATCTATTCACCTCACTATCATCAAGCAAGCCTCACCCAGAACCTTCAGGTTGTCGATGCCAGGCAGTTGACGATTAATCAGGATGCATCTCCGATGGTCGCCTTTGCCGCCGAGGCACGACACAATCAAATTATCGGCGAATTGGGAGCAGAACATCAGGAGCAGCTCCGTGCAATGTACAATAGTGGGCTTGCAGAGGTGAACAAGTTGAGGAACGAATTAGGCAATGCTAACATTGCGTTGTCGATTCAGAGGTCTGAAATGGGTCAAGGTGAAGTTCGTTTCCAACAAACCGAAAGCGCGAGGGAACTCGCTGTCATTGAAGCCAACCGGCAAGCGGAAGCTGCCCGTAGAGCTTTAGAGGAAGCTAACAGCAATGCCAGGCGCCTTCGCGAAGTGGAAACTTCTGCCCGTCAGAATGATGCAATGCGATCCCATGAGGTCGCTGACATGTCATCTCGGATGGATGAACTGATGAGGCAGCTTCACGCCCAGCGTCAGCAGACAGAGGTATTGATTCAGCAGAATAGTGCATTAAGCTCCAGGGTTCGAGATTTCGAAGCTAGAGATGCTGCTTTGAGGATTCAAGAGGGAATTCCACAAGGGCCTCCACCCGGCATTCCCGTACATCCCATTTCCACCCCGAAGCATGGAGGTGACACTCCTACGGAACAGGCGACGGACGCCGGGAGGCGAACCCCTCCAGATGGCTCCAGCCCAGGTGGCGGTGGTGGTGGCGGTGGGCCTGATGGCAACGGCCCCAGCGGAGGCGATGATGATCATGATCGTCGCAGTCGGAAGTCCAAGAAGGATAAGAAGCATAAGAAGAAGAAGTCGCGCAGGCGACGTAGGCGAGATCCTTCGTCTTCCCCTTCTAGCTCTAGCAGTAGCTCCGGTGATTCGAGTTCTTCATCATCCCGCATTGATAGGAAGACCATGAAGAAGCTCCTTAAGCGGATGAGTGAAGCTGTTGGTGACCGTGGTGAAAAGCCCGAGAAAGACGACAAGCCCAAAGTGAAAGAAGCTGAGAAGATTACCTTCCCCAAGTTCCCGCAACCTGAGAGCTACAGGAATTGGAGGCTAAGGGTTCGTGAAGCGGTCGTTGCCGCATCCGATCGTCCCGATGATGCCTTTTCGTGGCTTTCCAAGGTTTGGGAGAAAGATGTCAAGGAAGAAGATCTTCACGACCCGGAAGGGTTCGTCACTTTGGATGCTAAGGTACTGTCGGCGGTCACTAACATCCTGGAAGGTGCCTTTGCGAGACAGGTTGATACCTTCAAGGAGCGGGAGGCAAATGCCGGGAGACTTGTTCGGGGACGACAAGTGCTTTTCAAGTTGGATAATTTCTTTTCTACCAACGCACAGCATGGTTCAGTTTACGAGTTCGAGGATCTCTTGTCAGTCAAGATGGTCAACGAGAAGCTTGAGACTTTCATGCACAACTGGGAAACTGTCTTGTCAGGGATCCAGACTACCCCCGATGAGAACTTCCTTGAGCCCTTGTTCCATAGGCAGATTAAGCGCTTCAAAGACCTCGCACATGATATCAACATCTATGAAAGGGCAACACCAGGGCAGCCAGAGAAGACCTACAAGTTTTTGTATGACGCGGCTACGAACTACTTGAGTCGCAAGCGTCTTGAACGCAACCGGGAACGGATTGCCAAGCAATATGGTGCTGATGGGAAACCATCTGCCCCCGCTCCCAAGAAGAAATTCGTCCCTAAGGGATTTTGTTTTGAGTTCGTACAGAACGGTAAGTGTAGCAAAGGAGACAAATGCAAGTACAAGCATGAGATCCCTGAGAAGAGAGGCCGGTCGCATTCAAGAGGTGGAGGCCGCGCTCAGTCACCGTCTGGCAACGACGGAAAACCCAGAGAATGCAAGTTCTGGAAGAGTGGGCGATGCAAGAAAGGAAGTGCATGTACGTTCCTCCACACAGGCAAGCCAAGCGCTGCTGCGGCGTCACAAGGCGGCTCTCAGGGGGGAAGACCAGGAAGCGCAGGCAGCAAAGGGAAAGAAAAGAAGGAGAAGAAGGGCCATCGCAAATCGCGGTCCAACTCGAAGGGCTCTCAGGGGTCGAAGAACTCTAAGGGCAGCAAGGGTTCGGACAAGCGAAAGGGTCCAAAATCACCAAAAGTTCCCGCTGCGGTCTGCATCCTAGGGGCATTGATCGCCGCGGCATCGGGTACCCAAGCCGACGCTGCTTATGCATTCCGGAAGGATATGCCCGATAGTCGTGGTGACATGTCAGCTACCTTTTCATGTGCGTTGCCAGCTATTCGTTTCGACGATAATCCGATGCTCATCAACATCCCACCTGACGGAAAGATGTTGCCGACGGAACCCGAGACACGGAGGTACTTGAAGTCCTTCGGTGGGGAACCTCCTAGACCTAGTCAACAGGACGTCAAAGATGCACTGACGACTGCCAGGATGCTTAAATCAACTCTGGATGCATATGGTTCCGGGATAAGGGCTAAGTGTGGTTATGAGTGTGACACGGAATTCGGTTGCGACAAGTGCATTCCGAAACACATTGAAGCTACCTGTGTTGCAGCTACCAAAGCGGAAGCCCAGCAGCTCGATATTGAGTGGATCGCGGATACCGGCAGCGCCCAGGACCTGGTTTCACAGGGGGATCTCGGATCTTTGAGAAGCCATCGTTCCCAAAATCCTATCGGTATTGTGACGGCTAATGGGCCTAGCACTGCTGAGATTCAGTCCAACATCGCAGTTCCTTCACTTGGAATTGACAGCCATCCATACGTGTTGCCTAGCACACCCTCTGTTCTATCCGTTGGTTACAGGTGCATGGAAGAGGGATTCGATTTCGTTTGGAGATCGGGTACAAGACCTTACTTTCAGTCATCTAGCGGTGAGCGGATATATATATGGATGTGAAGGATTACGTCCCCTACCTCAAATCGTGGAAGGAAGGTGTGGCGGTACCTGCGAGGCGGAAGCCCCAGCCCGATGAGGACCATAAGAATGATTTGGTTCTTTCACTTGAAGAGGCTGAGGGATATGCAAGGGAACTTCGGATCAACGGCGACTTTCGTCTGGGATCATGTTACAAACTTTTGAAATTGACACCATTCAAGTCCACAGGGAATTCGAGGAGAATGAAAGCCACTGAAAATGACGACTCGGTTGAAGATGAAGTTGGCAGGGACTACATAATCATCGGCGCTTGGATTTTTAGCGGTATGACTGGAATCACAACTTCCGTAGACCGTCATGCTCAGCTGACCAAGTACCTGATCGCCTTCATGAAGTCAAGAGGGTTGAAAGATACCTTTACGTCCATCTGCATCAACCATGGTGGCAATCGCCGGGTGCATCGAGACTTGTTGAATCATGATGGCTCGCTCAATCACACTCTAGGCGTTGGAAGCTATCAAGGTGGTTCCGTATGGGTTGAGCGGAAGGACGACTTTCCCGTATTTCGCAGAGAAGGTGTAGCTGGTGGGAAATCAAAGTGCGTCAAGGTTACGGGGGGACTCGAAGTCAATGGAAGAGTATACGACACTCATGATCGAATGTTATCCTTCCACCCCAAGCTTTGGCATCAGGCACAGCCTTGGACAGGTGATCGATGGACCATCACTGCATACACGATTCGGGACGTAGACGGTTTGAGCTGGGAAAAGTCAAAGTCGCTAATGTCGCTTGGGTTTCAGTTGAATTCATCAAGACGGTTATCATTTGTTCCATCATTGATTACCGGCGACAGCGATGAAGAGCTCACACTTTACGACTTTGTGAAGAAGAAGAAGAAGGCCGAAGCCGAGAAAGATAAGGTTCCTGAACCAGCTCCTCCTCTGATGAAGAGTAAGGCCAAGTCTAAGCCCAGCAAGCCTGATGCCGGGCGGAAGCCTGAGCCCGAGCCTGAAAAGGGTGCAGACATGTCTGATCTTTTTGATATTGAGGAGCATTTCGATGAAGCCGGGGAGTTGAAAAGTGCCGAGGATCAGCCACCTCCTCCTCCTGTTCCTGCTGAGGCAGATAAGCGTTCGAAGGGAGAGAAGGTTTTACGTGAAGAAGCTAAGAGCAAACATCATCTGATGACACACGTCCCAAAGAACCCCTTTTGCCCTACATGCCAAAGAGCGAAGATGTTCAAGCCGCCTTCGTATCAAACGAATGGTTCCAGGTTCATTGAGTCTGAGAAATTCGGCGACCATCTCACTGGGGATCATCTCATTGTCTATCGCGACAACGAAGAAGAGATTAAGGATTCGCGATTAGCTTTGGTTATGAAGGACGTGGCAACGGGTTTCCTCGCGGCCTATCCCTCCGGACGGAAGTCTCAGGACGAGTGCTACAAGGCGCTCAACCACTTTGTTGCTAACAATGAAGATGTTGGCATCTTCTACAGTGACAATGCTCCTGAAATTAATGGGGCAGTAGAAGAAATGGGCTGGAAGCATGAACATTCTAAGGCCTATGTCCATCAGTCCAATGCCATGGCTGAGCGTGCGATCAGGACTGTTACGGAAGGCACCAGAGCGAATCTGGAGCAAGCCGGTCTGGCTCATGCTTATTGGCCCCATGCCTTACAACATGCTTGTGTTGCCCATAACATAAGCCATCCCAATGGTACGAAGTACTCTTCATGGACTTTGCGGTTCGGCAAGGACTTTCATGGGCCGTTGATTCCATTTGGTTGCCGAGTAGACTACTGGGTCGGTACTCGAGAACAGCGGAAGCTGCAAGGGTACGAAAGATTTGAGAGTTCATCAGAACATGGGATCTTCATGGGTTACCACTTCCAACCAGGAATGCGTTGGCGTGAAGAGATGTTGGTAATTCCGATATCCAAGCTGAATGGAAGTGACTTCTACGAGTACCATAAGCCTATTAAGGTGCATCAATTGAAAGTGCCTGACGGTGAGTTCACTTTCCCCATGGTCGAACGTTATAACCGTGTCCGAGACGGGCTAGCGCATGACGCCATCGAAAAGCCTGTCGTTGAATCTCTGAGAAATCAGGATGCGGAACCAGTCGTAGATCCTCCTGGGGACGGTGAGGCTAAAGTAGAAGTACCTAAAGTTATTGATCCCAAATCAGGTGACCTCGTTGAGTTGCCCGAAGGCGGACGATTCTATGACTCCGGTGGAACTCTTGGTAGGAGATATGGAGGGTCCAGGGGTTCAAAGAAGCCGGATAGCATTCCTTCTCATATATGGGTCAATTTGTCCAAGAGGCAGAAAGATAAGGCGATAGCGGAAGAAGCATCGAAAATCGCTAGGGAATATCATGAAGGTGCCGATCGGGCAGGTGGCGGATCATCGAGTTCAAGGCCTGCTGCGACGCTTGGTGCGTCCCGAGATCGATGGGAGATCAAGGGAAACAAGTTAGTGCGGTATCATTGTGTTCCTAGACGAGAACTTTTCTCTCCTGATATCACCGATTGTCCTATTCCCACTTCTAGGATAAAGCCGACAAGGATCTTGCAGATCATCCCCGTGGGAACGGAGGACACTGTTGCTGATGAAGATGATTGGACAAACCCGCGAAGAAGGAACAAGAAATTGCCTTTTAGATGGACCGGCAAAACCATCTTTGAGATCCTACCCTTGGGTACTAGCAGTGCTCATATCGTGGGGGAACCCTATCCGACTATGCCAACGATCCCACGTAGTGGGGAACATCGCGAAAAGATTGGTAATGACCATCAATTCACCCAATCTGAGCTGGAAGTTATGATGGCCTTAGTGGCTCGTCCGGTTGGCAAGAAGGAACTCGCGGAGAACAATGACGCCCAGAAATCACTTGACGTGGAATGGGATAAGTTGATGCAAAAGCGAGCATGGGATATGGATAACCCACGGGAGTGGTCTGAGATCTCGGCGGAAGCCGTCAGACGGGGTCGCAAGGCCCATGTTGGACGTGTTTTCGAAATCTGTGTAGAAAAAGGGAGCGAACTCCCCAAAGGAAATCCCCTGAGGAAATTCAAAGGCCGTACGGTCTTCCAGGGTAATAATGTCCAGGACGAAAGCAGCAACGCCGCCCTGTTCTCGGAGTTAGGTTCGAGCCCTGCTTCGATGGAGGCGGGCAAGGTGCTGGATACGTACGGATCTCAGCCAGGTTTCGCCTGTGAACAGGCCGACGGTAAGCAAGCTTACACTCAGACGACTTTGAAAGGCGCTGAAACTTGGGTTCGATTACCAAGGGAGCGGTGGCCTAAGTCCTGGGTTGGCAAGTTCAACGATCCAGTAGTTCGGCTTTTCCTTGCGCTGTACGGACACCCTGATTCGGGGGGCTTCTGGGAGAAGCATTGTGAGCAGAGACTCAAGCAAGTGGGTTTTGATCTTCTGTTTCCCTCTTCGTGGCCTTCGGTTTTCTTTCATCCTAAGCTTCGCCTACTCTTAGCCGTCTACGTTGATGATTTCAAGATGGCTGGACCTGTTGAGAATATGCAGGAAGGGTGGAAGCTGATCGGGTCCAAGATCGATATGGATAGCCCGACTCCACTTGGAAGATACCTTGGGTGTGAACATGTAGAGAAGAAGAAAGTTCAACTGGGAACAGCTGACCATCCCTTTGCCCACATCTTTGATAAGAGTATTCCTGACCCCGCGGCCAAACCTTCGGTTCCGGCTACGTCCCAGGATTATACGGAGTACTTTCCTGATGAAGGTGTTATTGTTCGCCATCATATGCAGCCTCGCAAAGCTAAGTATGCTGTTAGCGCTGCGGAAGCAGACGTCTTGAACATCGGCGACCTGCGGTTGACCGAACGTCAGCTTCTTGGAAGTACTTCTGCAGAAGAACAATGGGATGATGGTTTCCGGGGGGGTAAGGCTTCGGGACTTTGGACGGGAACCACTTACTTGTTTGATCGTGGTATTGATAAGCATCATGCCGTGGCGGCTGTTAAGCGCATTCGTGACAAGAACACAGCTAAAAAGGAAGCTAGGAAACAGGCTTTCTATGACATCAGCCAATTGTCTAGTGGCACCGGATGCATGAAACAACCCGTCAACATCATCGAGTATGACATGAAGTCTTTTCTTGAACAAGCTGTACAAAAGTACAAAGACCTCGCTGGCCCCAAGTACCACACCCTCAAGTCAGCCTCTACTCCATTCGCCGACGAGAAGATCGCGAGGCCCATCGATGATGAGGCCGAGGCAAAGGGTGAATTGGCTCCTATCGCTAGCCGAGTTCTGATGAAGCTTTTGTTTGCTGCCAGAATGGCTCGTTACGATCTTCTACGGGCTGTTCAGGGATTGGCTAGCAGAGTTACCAAGTGGTCTGCTGAATGTGACCAGGCTTTACACCGATTGATGTGCTATGTGAATTCCACCCTAGACTTGAAGTTGAGGGGATTCATCGGTGACCCGATTGACCAGTGCAAAATATGGTTGTTTGCTGATGCAGATCATGCAGGTGAGCATGATAACAAGAGTACATCAGGATGCTTCGAGGCTTTGGTCGGACCCAACACGTACTTTCCTTTGGCGGCTTACAGCAAGAAGCAAACCTCAATTTCTATTAGTTCTACCGAGTCCGAGGTCGTATGCGCCAATATTGCTTTGAGGACTGTTGGTTTGCCATCCTCCGCTTTATGGAGTGTGCTCCTGAAGGCAGGGGGGGTTCAGACGCATCAAAGCCGAGCGCACCCCGGAAGGGAGATGCCTGTTTGGTCAAATTCCCAGATCAGGATGTTGCCTCTCAGGTACCGAAGACTGGTAGACATGAACTTATTGATTGTCGAGTAGCTGTTCTTTCAGGCGGTGACAGTATCCCTGAACCCGTTGAGCTCGCATCCCACCCTCTTCGAGATGTATGGTTGCTCCGGGGGGACAAATGGTCCAGAACAGAAGAAGCTGTCGCTTGGGAAGAGCTCGAGAATGCCTCCTACATGGTTCCGAAGGATGCTAAAGCCATCTTGTGCCTATACCGGAAGTCATCATTGGAGTATCGTCGCTCTGCGGAAGCAGAAGCCGAATTGAATTATGAGGCTTACAAGCTCCGTCATGGACTTGGCGACTTCGAGTACACCGATGATGCAAAGATCAGATCCGATCATTCATTGATCATGGCTGCACCACATTGCATGCAACCTGTGATGTTAGAAGATAACCAGGCCACTATTAGGATCATGGAGTCCGGAAGGTCACCGGCATTTAGGCACACAGACAAAACCCAAAGAATCAATCTCGGATGGGTATCGGAACAGTTCAGAAGGAAGCATTATGATCTCGCGTACATTAGTACCTTGTTGCAGTCTGCCGACATTTTGACTAAGCCATTTACCAACATTGACAAATGGAAGAGAACGGTTTTCCTCATTGGCCATGTCTATGTCAAACCATCAAGGCCTGCTTCGCCAATCGTCGTGCCGGACAACCTCGAGAAGAGGATCGAGCCCGAGAACAACGGGGTTCTCATCGAATGGGGACATGATCCGTCGTTCTCTCTGCTCGGAAGGGCAGACGATAGTGGTAGCGGCAGCCCATCTGTCGTTCGGGTCACTCATAGCATGGACCTTAACAGTACTCAGACGAGTAGGGACTTGCTCAAGGTCGTCAAAGGCTATGCCAAGTCGAATGTTCCCATTACCGTTTGGGTTGACCTGCGCTTTGCGGGGGGTCCTGATGATCGCAAACACTTTGGCAAGCTATGGTCTTCTTTCGTCAACTTAAGCACCGGATTGGATTTGAATAACTGCCATTACGTCGTGATTGCTCCCTGGGATCATTTCTCATGGAAGATGGATCGAGTTGTCAGGTGGTGTTCCAATCATGAGTGTACGAGTTTTGAACTTATTGATGGCGAAAGATCAGGCAATTTAGGTCATTGGAGATTGCATACTTCCTACAAGAATTTGCCAATTGAAGTGATGAACTATTTTCATGGCTGTAAGCTCAAGAACATTTCAGAGCCACAATTTCCTGTTCGACAAGCTGCTGTTGCGGTACAAGTTACTCTGAGCGAAGATCCAATAGGAAGCGCAGCAGTAATGGCATCCTCTTTGCCCACCGTTTCTCTGGAGGAGCGTCGCCGACGCATCGAGGCTTTCCGCAGGGCTCTTAAGGACCCTGATTGCCTCGCGGAAGCGATGGCCTTTGAGGAACCGGCATATTTTAAGGATGCCTATGGCGTTGTGAAGGAGGCGTACCAGTACAAGCTGGTGGAGCCTGCGGAGTCTGATCCGCCAGAGGCCATTTTCCTCGGCCGTATCCGAAACGGCGAGTGGATTGGTCTGCGGAAGCAGTACCCCTACGCAGGTTTTCCCCTCCTGTACGAGATGTGGCACCGCCATTTCAACAGCCCGGCTCATCAGGGAATGCCGATTGAGGGCTTCGAGCTTCATGGCGATTCCCTCCTGACGGAGTGGACAGAACTTGTCAAAGCTTATCTCCGCGACCTGGCTTATGTGGGGCATGCCACAAACGCCGAACGGGCTCTCAAGGCCACTGAGCCGTTTGATGTCTGTCACAGAGCGTATGTGCTATCCCAGGAAACCCTGGGCTACCACGAGTTAATGCCAGCTGCCACGGCGTTGTTAGACTCGGTGTATACTCCAGCCCTCCGAAGAATCGAGCATCAAGAGCAACCAAGCTCGTATTTTATTATCGGAGGAGATAGCTCTCTCGCGTTGGTGACCCGCGGCGACGGTGGACGCGTCCTGATGAAGGGGACGATGGAACCGTCACTCCGGGAGGAGATGACCAAGGACATCCGCATGGATGGATGTTCGGTCGTCATGCGCTGGGGGAAAGGACTTGGAGACATCGTGTGGCACGTGGAACAAGAGCTCAACCGAGTCCAGAAGTGGAAGAACGGCCAGGAACCGCTCGCACCGGAAGGTGTCGACATTATCATTCAATGGGGTGGTAATGACGTCTATGGCGAGTATGGTTACAAAGGCTTTTCCTTCCACATGCGCAATGCGTGGGTTCGTGTTGATGATGCATTGCATGACACACTTTCCAATTGGGAGACCAAGGGACGCAAGGCCGTCGAGGACGCAAAAGATGCCCTGGTCCGTCTCTCATCCCGGAAGGGAGTGTCCTCTGTCACGTTGGTGGCTGGCCCCCACAATGGGGAATTCTATGGTCTCCCGGAGGTCTATGACCTGGAGATGGCACGCCATTCCGATGAGTTGAAGGAGCGAGGGATCCGCATCGTTGATCCCCAGGCTCACATCCTTACGACAGAGCGTTACGATGGGTTTCACATGGAGGCTACCCACGACAACGTGAAGGTTACCACCCGCTGGTTCTTTCACCTTTGCTCTGCAATCATGTTCGAGCGGTGGCTTGTGAAGCATGCGATGGAACTTAAGGCCAATTCGCGTGGTATCCTCTTTCACAACCACTTTCACCTCGGACTCGGCTTGGAAGAGCTCGACATCCCTCCTACCACGGACTTGCTCATTCCGGCGGAAGCTGAGATGGTGACTTTCCCACCTGAGGCACCGCCCGTGCAACGTTTCCCAGAGGAGGAGATTGTCTTGAACCAGCCGATCCTCAGCTTGGAAAAGCTTGACGAGCTTGAGGGTGTACCGCCCACTGACTATGTCAATGAAGTGGCGAAAGAGTCAGAGGAGCTCACGGTTGAGGACGTGGTGTCTCGTAACCCGAATCCGGAGGACGAGCACCTCACCGTGGAAGCGGTTGACCCCGGCTCGGAGATGGAACAAATCGTTCGGAAAATGATTGAGTCGGTGAACCTGGTGATGACGGATAAGGAGGCTGAAGAGGTCGCCCAGGAGACGGGTGTTGCTCCATACGAGTTTGTTGAGCCGAATGTCACAGCTACATCTGTCGTGGATGGTGAGGCAGTCTCTACGATTGCTACTTCCGACATCCCGACGGAAGTCTTGGACTCTGGTCCGATGGCTGTGGACTACGGCGCAGACGACGAAGTGGAGCATCCCCGCGGAAGTGGTGGACCCATCTGGCTTACACCGGATCAGCTACCTGATGTCAAGGGTCGCATGGGATACTTTCGCCTCAATGAGATGGAGTGTGTTTCGTTGGGCAAAAAGCTGTCGTGGCACCTGCGTGGGCATGCCAAGGACAAGGGGTTCCGCACTGTTGAGTTCGACGAAGAGCAGTCAGCAGAGATTGGTGATGTCTTGAAGGTCATTGGGAAACAGTGGTCCCGCCTGACGGTGATGACCATTATTGACCTGTTGACATCCGATCACTGTGACAAAGCACGGTTCGAACTCCAGGCGGAAGCCTTGGACGAGGAGACACGGTTGGGCCGGGGAACAAACTGGCACTTTACCCGTGTCCGAGCATTCCAAGGACACAACGCCTGCTTGCTCGTCCTCGGCAGCGACCCGCTGAAGACCACTGTCAAACAGTGGGCCCTCGATGACCAATGGATCCCGTCCTATGTTGATCTACCGATCACGGGTCCATATCCTTATCGGGCAACGGCCTTCGATCTGATGCCAAAGCTGGCGTACCACGCCACATACTGGCGAAATTTCATCAAGATCGTCAACACAGGCCTCATCCCGGGAGGGAAAATGACCTCGAAGGGCAACAGCGGGAGGCCCTTCAACATGTTCGCGATGGAGCCTCAGTGGGAACGCACCTCCAATCAGGGTGTCCGCCCTGGCGCGCAGCTGGAATTTGTGATAGACTTACAGCTCGCTGCTTGCGATGGCTGTCGGTTTTTCGAGACAAAAGCTGGAGCGCTGCAGACGCCGGATTGGATCAGCAACCGGGCCATTCTGTATGCATATGACCGGTCGACTCAGGAGATGATCTGGGCGAACCGAGCATACGAACCAGCGCGGAAGCGCTTGGCCCAGGCGTGCAAAGACAAGAGCCTCAACACGCCCATTTATGGCGAGCGGGGTCACCAGGAACTGATCGATGCAAACGGCTATTGCTTCAACTACCTCGTGGCAGGCCTAGGGTATCGCAATTTCGACACCTGGAAAGACGCCGCTAAGGCATGCAAGGATGTCTACGACCTTGATTTCTACCCAACAAGCATGTGTGGTCTAGACATTCGCATCCCGGAAGGGCATGCCTTGCAGGGCTCTGAGTCATTGTACAAGATGGTGGTTCACGTGGCTCCGAAGCAACCTCATCAGAAATGCAACGATGAGTCGGATTGGCGCCGCCAAGAGAATGTCAGCATTCCTTCTTTTGCTTGCCCGAGCTGCGGTACATCCAACGTTGATGGTACAATCTGCTGCTATCGATGTGAGTCTCGACTGGAACCGCACTCAGATGTGAGCATGGCTTTGGAGAACACCCGTGCCAAGCAAGTTGCCGCCCGGAAGGGTGAGCCCCTGGATTACAGGGCATTGCAACCGAGCGGGGAGGTCAACTCCAATCGGGCCACGGGCAACAAGAGGGATCGGAGTGCTGGCTCTGGCCCAGCCGCTGTTCGTCAGCAGGCCGCTAAGTACCTCGGAAAGGCCTTGAAGGCGGGTTCTCGCACTGTTGTTGAGCGTCAGTCTCGTGATCCGTTCACGGCCTACAACAATGCAAGATTTGGCATATCCATCACGGGGCTTGAGCAACTCATGATTTTCGCCCGAATGAGGATCGCCAACCCGCCGAGGTCACGCCAGATGATCCATGACCGCACTGGCTTTGACGGCGCAGCAAAGGTGAGCTTCTCATTCCCACCGGAAGGTGAGGACCTGACACTTACGGACCACTGCTTTGTGGCGTTCGTGGACAGGTTCTACAAGCTTGATGAAGCCGCCTTGTTGGCGTTTGCCGTCCATCGCAATGGC